GGTCACAGAGCGGAAGGTCGGGCAGGCCGCCGCGCGGGCCGCCCTCGGCACGCCTGGGCTCGGCGGGCCAGGGCCAAGATGTCGGCGGCCGCTCCGGCCGCAAGGACGCAGTGACGGTGGCCATTCGGTTTCGACCCTTGAGGTGAGTCCGCCCGTTTGGCGGCCTTTCTGACGCCCCTCCTCACTCCGAGAGGGGGGGGGAGAAGGGGGCCGGGGTCGCTACGCCCCGCCTCGGCGTTCCGGCGACGCCTGGGGGTTGCGGCGGCGCGACGGTGCCGCAGATCCGTGCGGCAGCGCGTGGTGGTGGGGCGTGACGGCGTTAGTCACCTCCCTTGGGAGGTTCTGGAGGCTCGCCTGCCCCGCGGCGGCCCCTCTGCCCCCGCGCGGGCCGCCGATCACCGGGCGCACCCGCCGGAGCCGTCGCTTTTGATCTCATGATTTTTGTGGGTGGGTTTGTCGTCACTGGGGTGTGTGTGGGAGATGCACCGGCCTAGAACCTACCGGCGCGGCGCCCGGGGCGGTGGGGCGCCCTCGCGCGCGGCCTGGGGCGCTGGGGACCAGTGGCTCGCAGAGGGGGTTCGGGTTTTTCGCGCGGGGCCGTCGGCGGTGTGAAGGGGCGGTGGCCTCCTCGTAGCCGCAAAAAGCCCTTGTGCAGGGTTTTGGCAGCATTTCGCCGCCGGCGCCTCGTGGAGCGTGGGAGCCGCCTCCGCGGGCCGCCAAGGCCCCGCGACGGGCGCACCAAGGCGCGCCTGCACGCGCGTGGACAATATCTTTCCGTTGGCCGGCTCCGTTTTCTCTGTGCCCTTACGCGGGGACCTGCGGCAAGGGCGGTGGCCTGCTGTCCCGCCGGGGCAGTTGCGAACTGGCCCCGGGCGGCTCAGGGAGGGGCGCCGGCGCTTCTGGGGTTCCGCTGGGGGCTGTGTTAATCGAGGGGCGGAGGGCAGGGATGGCTGAAATGCCGCGTTTGGGTAATGGACGTGCTGTGGCGACGCGGCCAGCCGCCGCAGAACCCTGAGGCCCCATGCGCGGGTGGGAGCGGGCATTTGCCTCCGCGGTCGTGGGTCTTGTGCTGTTTTGCGAAACTGTGTGTGCGTCTTTTTCAACTGGTGCTGGTGGCGCCGCTGAATTGACGTCTGTTGCCTGGCGCGTGCAGCAAGAAAGAGCGATTACGAGGCGACACCTCGGTGTGGGACGTGGACGACGACAACACCGTGGGACTGGTGTCCAACGGCAGTTTCAAACCAAAGTATAAGTACGACCAAGTGTTTCGGGGGGATGCGGGGAATACAGAAGTCTACCAGGGCGTGGCAGAGGAAGTGGTGAGGAAGTCGATGTCTGGCATCAATGGGACCATCTTTGCGTACGGCGTGACCAGCAGCGGAAAGACGCACACCATGATGGGCGACTCGGCGGAGCCGGGCATCGTGCCCCAGGCAGTGGCCCAGGTGTTCGAGCTGATCGACAACATGCCGTCCAAGGAGTTCCTCTTGAGGCTATCCATGATGGAGATCTACAACGAGGTGGGTGGCGTGCGACTCCTGCTTGGCATGGGTACCTCCAATCAGTCCACCAAAGTGGCTGGAGACCATTAGAAACTGCCAGTCCTGCTGAGGCTATGTGCTCTCCACCCATTTGAAGCACAGCAGCAGCAGCAGCGGCAGACTTCCCTTTGCTTTGTGTGGGCGTTCCTCTTCTGGGTCGGTGCAAGGTCTGAGTTTGCAGGGACTGCGGGCTTTTGTTTCCAAGTGCAGAAGATTCTGATGGCTGCACCAGGGTGGCGATCACTGCACTGCAATTTGTATCCTTGCCAGCTCCAGCTTGGGAGGACTGCCACCCACCGGCAATGTGTGGTTGCAGACAGGCTGATCGTGGTACCCGATGATGAAATCCTGGTTTTTGCCGCAGGTGCTGCCTGTCCTGAGTTCCTTTGTTGTGTTCTGTCTGATGCCGTGGAGTGGCTTGTGCAGGTTCTCAATGACCTGTTGGACCCGACCAGGACAAACCTGAAGATTCGGACGAACAGCACCAAAGGCATCCATGTTGAAGGGCTGAAGGAAGAGGTGGTGCTCTCTTGTGAGCACGCCTTGTCACTGATCGCCACCGGAGAGGCCAACAGGAAGGTGAGAAACTCAAGGTTTTTACTTTTTCTTGCCGGGCCCTGGAAGAATCTAAGCCTACACCTACTCCTTTAAAAGCTCATGGGAGAGAATACATTTGTTTCGTTGTCTTCGCCCATTAGGTGGACAGCTGCAAAATCGTGCACAGTTAACTCCTTGACTCCTGCCTAGGACTGCAAAAATGGTTGTCCTGAGGGCTGGAGAGTGATATCTGGAGAAGGTGCTGCCCTTGACATGGATTTGCATGCCGGGGGTGAGCCTGCATCTCTGTGCTTTTGCCATCAGGTTGCCAGCACTGCCTTCAATGAGGGGAGCAGCAGGAGCCACATTTTGTGCCGCTTCTGCATTGAGATCAGTGACAGGGTAGAACAAGAGTCGGAGGAGGATGCACCCGAAGATGGGGAGGCAACGACAGAGGATGGGGCTGTGCCGGAAATGCGGGCGCCAAAGGCCCCTAAGGCTGATGCTCCAAGGACACTGTCATATCTGAACCTCATCGACCTGGCCGGCTCAGAATCTGCAAAGGTGAGCCTTAGCTGCAATGGATACTTTGGCCAGGACATAGCTGCATCGCACAGTGCGCTGGCTGTGAGCAGATTTGGAAGCCCAGTTATCAGTACGGGTTAAAGGAACCTGGCATTCACCTCCCAAAGGATTCATTCCAAAGATCCAGCTCGTTTAGCTGAGTGCGTGTGCACAGTTTTAATCAGCCGATTGAAATTTGAAGATTCGTGTGGATGGTTGTTATTTTGGATTGTGGGCTGATGCTTTTCTGTTGTCAGTGTTGGTCACTGACTGGCTGAGGTTGTTGTTTACTGGGACCCATTGTGTGCAGCCGAGTTGACTGTGCACTGCTTATGTGGATGTGGTGGCCAATTGTCTTGCTTAGTAAGAGTTTCAATTTGGTCTCCCCTGAAACTGAACACAGCTTTGCTATACAGGCAACTGACCGTGTTGAGGTCAGGGCAAACAACGGTGTCTTCCGGAGGATTCTCCAGAAGGCTAAGGTATGGGCAATATGAGACTGTACTGAAGGTACCTGACCCAGCACTTACTTTGCAAGGGGCATGGTTGACTGGCGGGGAATCACCCTTGCAGCAGCAGACAGCAAGGTGCAATGCGCAGTGGCCATTAGAGGCTGCAGGTTTTGGACACATTGCGTTGCAGTCCTGTGCGTTGAAGCAAGACGAAGTTTATGGTGTTTGCTTGAACAGCCTGCAGTGCCGATGAGCTCTGAATCGTGGCCATGTGCATTTGATCAGTCGAACAAGGTCAGGGGTAAGCAGATGGAGGGCAGCTACATCAACAAGTCCCTCCTCACCCTCGGCACTGTCATTCACAAGTTGAGCGAGAGCCGTGCAGCACACGTGCCCTTCAGAGACAGCAAGCTCACCCGCCTGCTCCAGCCTTCCCTCTCTGGAAGCGGAGCCAAAGTGGCGATCGTCTGCACTGTTACTCCTGCATCCACGCAGGCAGAGGAGACGCACAACACTCTGAAGTTTGCATCCCGGGCAAAGAAGGTAGCTCTGGAGTGGCAGTCGATGGGCTTTTGTTTGTTACTGCTTGCAGCAAGTCCTGGAATGGGTGAAGCAGCAAACCTCGATCGAGTGTTGGAATGTGACTGGGAGGCTGGGCGACTCATCCTTGAGGTTGTCTGGCAGTTGTTTGTCGATCACATTATTGGCCATCAACAAATGGCATAGGCAGCTGGCATGATTCGGTGGCAGTGCATCGCGAGGTTACATGCACGCGTTTCAGTCTTGTGTGCTTTGAAACACAATTTCTTGACTTTCTGCGTTCTGTGCTCCTAACAGATCCAGATCAAGACGGCACGGAACGAGATCATGGATGACAAGTCGCTTATCCGGCGCTACCAGCTTGAGATTGCGGATCTTAAGCGCCAGCTTGAAGTTTTGGCAATGCAGAGTAAGGAGTCTTGATGCTGCCATTGGCATGCAGTCTGTCCTGTTGACAAGGATGTCAGCAGTGTGTCCATTCTCATTGATTGTAATAGGTTTGCAGGAACTCACTTTGTCACAGTGGTGATGGATTAACCTTGCCCTGGTTTTGGCTTTAGGTTTAATTGTAGCCCACTGGTTTAGCGTTGATTGTCACTGCAATGTTTTCTTCCTGCTTTAAAGCTGCTGCAACCATGAATAGAAACTGAAGCCTCCCAATAGAAGGGCTGTTTGTTGCCATTTCCACTATCATTCTCCTTAAGGAGTATCTTAACGGGCTCCAGTTGTTGTCCACTTGCAATATGCTGCTGTCGGAGCCTGATCGCAGAATTGATTTCCAATTCAGGGGAAGCCACTCCAAAGGATGCAAGCATCTCGAATATCAACAGGGACATGGAAGAGCAACTGTACAATCTCAGGTAGAGAGCGCCCAGGGGCATAGTGTGTGTGCAAGATGCCAGATTGGCTGCAATGGACAACTGCATACAGAGGTTCACAGTTGCATCGAGGACAAGTTGTGTTGCATTGTTTTGTGTGGCACCTGCTAGCAAGTACACGTCTTGACGGGAGCACAAACGCAGATGAACTTTGTGAATGAATTCTTCTGCTTGTGAACATCTGTTAGGTGCAAGAATAGTATCCTGTTATGAACGGGATATGCAGTTCTTAAATAGAATGTATTGTTGTGATGAGTGTGATCAATGATGTGTGAAGCAAATGTGTGCAAGCAAGGCAATGGAAAAAAGTAAGACAATATTCAATGTCCAGCCCACAGGTGGGAGACACCTACATGTGGCTGTGTGCTAGAGCTGTGCAAGAATGCGCCAGTGGCTGCTAAGGGAACAGAACAATTGCCATTTCAGTCATTCAGATCTGTGATTGTGTAACCATTAGTCTATTGTTCACTTTCAATACTCGTTGATCCTTTGCAGGGAACGCCTGGAAGAGGAGCTCCGTGCTCGGCTGAAGCGGGACGAAGACAAGGCAGCACTAGAGGCCCGTATCAATCGGCTCACAAGGCTGATCCTTCATGCCAGAGCCCCACAGGAGCCCCAACCTCGGGGACCCACAAGGCCAGGTCACCTGAGGTCAAGGAGTTTTGATGTGAGTTGATTCTCTGTTCTCCCTGCGTGTGCTAGCTGCCTGCCTGTTTTTGTACTTGTGGACCTCTGGAGCCAAGTTAACTTCAAGTGCACTATTGGCCATGGTTTCGCTTGCTGTCCTTGCGGCCCCCATTGTCAATTTGATGTCCCTGGCAACAGCATTTTGTAACGGCGTCCTGATCGGTAGGGAGCGCTGTTGATCGTTCAATGCATTACCGCTGGATATGTTCCGCTTCAGAACAGCAACCGCTGAGAACGTCCTGTAGCAGTGCTTGCCGTCAATTGTGCTGTCCTGCATGGGAGGGTTGCTGGTTGTCTATGGTCTCTTGTATTTGTGATGCCTTTGTGTGCGTATATGTCTGCCATTTGTCGGTTCTGAATCCGGTGATGCCCCACGTGCACTGTGCACCAAACCCATTTTCACCATGCTCATGTGGCTGCCTGTGAATGGTGCTTGTAGTTGCGTACCACACGTTGTGTTTTATCCAGTGCCTATGTTCGCCATCGCTTCTCCTTGTGGCGCTTTGTCAGTTGAGTGTTGCCTACTTTGCACAAGAAGACTGTAGGTGCTCAGTGTAGAAGTGGAATCTTGTCTCAAGTGCTGCGGCCAGTAGTGGTGGTTTTGCCTGACAGTGTGATGCCCTGGTGTTGCTGCCTTGTGCGTCTGGAATTCTGTCTTGAGTACCCTGGACCTGGGCTTCATTCGGGGAGTGAGGTCCTATGTACAGTTTTTTACATCAACACGCTGAAAACTGTGCGCTGGCATTTGCGGTCAACCTTATGACAAGAAATAGTCAGGGTCTGGCAAGGGCGCCTTGCGACATAGCCTGGAGTCATGCGTCACAGTTTGGTGCCATCTCGACAACAGTATGTCTTGTGTCCAGATTTGTTAATGTCTGCAGCATATCCTGCAAGGAGATGATCCAATTGGCCTGCCTGCCGCTTTTGCATGTGCTGTGCATTCTTTGTGCTGGTGCATTGTTTGACTCTTCTTTTAGCAGACCAGTTGCGATTGGATGCACATGTCAACATGGCGAGGTACCAAGCTGATCCTCTGTATGAATCTATGCAGGCAACTCTGGCCCTGCGATGCAGGAATTTTGCGGCAGAACTCTCAAACCAGGGTGATGCGCCTGCACCGAGCTCTCTGAACTCAGGTATACTTCCCACCTGCTGGGGTTGTATAGGAAGTTCACTGCGGATGACTGATGCACTCACTGTGCCCTTGCATTGGTCCAATGCTTCAGTGTTATTCTTGCAGCTTAATGTAATGGCCGTTGCACTGTTTCCAGGGCATGGTGACTGCTGACCTGCTCCCTCAACCGAGTGTGGCGCTTCCTGTCTTTGAGCTGTGCACTGGTTGACGGTTTGCACTGGTCAGGAGGACGATGCTGTTCATGCACACTGTTGCTACTTGATTCGGCTGTGTTAATCGCTTTGTTTTTACAGCAGCCAGCCAGTGTTTTGGGAAGCCACACCTTGGCTCAGGCCCTTACAAAAGGACAGCTGTGCCGTTCTCTTGCTGTTAGCTTTCTGACCGCCACCAACTGCTTGACAGAGTTTGCTGCAGCAGAAGAGCATGCCGGTGAAGCCATGTGGATCGGTGATGGGGAAGGCTGGGCTGAGCAACAACATCTTTGCAGCACAAATTGCACACGGGCAGCTGTCCCCGCTCCTTGACTGGATGTTGTGCCGAGTTGCAAGTCCCCCTGCCCTCCCAACTTGACTCCACCTTGGCCAGGGGTCCTGACTGTGAACGTGGGCTGCTGCTGCCAGGTGCAGATGTTTCGGCATTGGAGTCTTGCCTGCACACTCCAACCTCCATGGCGTTTGGAGGCGATTCCAACTACGTCCTGATGGAGAGGGGCATGGAGGAATACTTCAGAAAGGAGAACCAGCACCTCAAGGAGCAGGTGGCTATGATGGCTGAGGAGATGGCTGCAAGCCAGAGGAGCATGGAGGAGATCAAGGCCATGCTGAGGTCTTCAGCAAGGTCGGCACAGCACACAGGTTCACTTCATACGGGTTCAAGCCAGACCTCAGACGAGGAGCTGGAGATGTCGGTGAGTGTGAATTCATCCATGTGCCAATGGAGTGCACTTGTTGTCTTTATCGCTTCATGCCCCCTCCGCCGGCCACGCCCCGTCCGCCTTCCAAAGCATTTTCCTTGGTGATGGAGCCAGTGAAGCCGCTGTTTCCCCATGGTGCCTTGGTTGTGTCCATGCGAAGCTTGTGTTGCCTGACGCCTTCGCACCAACTCACCACAATAGTGTTGCAGTTGCACCATTGTGCTGCACACATGACCACGCCAAAATCCAGAAGCATGTCTTCCAGATATGCGTGAAGCGATTTGAGTGCTGTTCACTGTCTTGGGCTCCACCAGGTGCTCCAGGCCGACCGTGAGGTGCTCCAGGACACGCTGTCTGGAGTAAGGTCCGAGAACAGGCGTCTCCTTGATGAGGTGGTGAAGCTGAAGGTCCAGCTGAAGCGTGTCAAGAAGGAACGGGACTTCCTCTACAGCGAGGGAAGGGGCCAAGAGCAGCCAGCTGGCCTGGCCAGGAGGCCACCCAGAAGCCCACCCGCTCCAAAGGTCTTTGGGCCTGCTGAAGAGGCGCAGCCTGCGAGTCCCTTGGCCTGCGATGCTACTTCCACTTGCAGCACTACTGTCTGCACAAGCTCTGAAGTGTCTCCATTAGCCAACACAACTGGAAGGTGAGGGAGGCCATCGTGCCTGGGTGCAGACCAGCAGCAACTGCTGGTTTTGAGAATTTGATGTCATTTGGAGGCAGGCTATGCTGCTGATTGGGCAGGAAATGGGTCCCAAGTGCGGCTTGCATCAAGCTGTTGCTGCTGGATTTATGAGCAAGAATTGGACTATACTCTGCTGCTATTTGCGACGATTGAGGACCCAAGACAGCACATATTCTGCCTGTGTTGGATCACCTTACCGAGCCAAAATAAAGCGTTAGTCAGTGGCCTCAAGTGGCCCAGCCGATGCTGGCACCTGCCCTTGATCTGTGCAAGAAATATGCAGCATCGGCACTATGGTCTGTTGTTTTTTGTTGGACAGTTCTCTGTTGTCCCACTTTTACACCTTGTTTATGCTGTCGCATGGTGCTTTGCTTATACTCTTTGGGGCGCATTGATTATGAGAATGTGGCTGTCAACAGGTGGACTGGCGCATTGAACACTGTGGACGAGGACGTGAAGGCCAGGCTGGTCGCTTTGGAGCACCAGGTGCACACTGCACTGGAGGAGCTTGTGCGCAAGGACCAGCAGCTCGCCAGCCAAAAGGAGGAACAGGAGAGGATCCAGATGATGGGTCGCGAGGTTGCAAAGCAGCTGAAGGGCCTGTCTCAAGAAAATGAGCAGATCAAGGCTGAGCATGCGCACCTGGAACTCCAAAACAACAGGTTAGCTTCAGTTCAGCTGTGCTGTGACCTGCACCCGCTGTTCCCGAACGAATCCATGTTAGCCTCGCATAATGTGCTGAGTGTCTCGTTTCCCTTGTGGGGACCCCTCTTCAGACTTTCCTGTGGAAAGATTGGTGTGGGGGCCTTACAGTGATGTGCGTTTTCCCTGTGCAGTGCACTTGAGATATCCGCCATCAAGGTGCCACTGTGGTGTTTTCTGTGCGTTGGACTTGGATCCGTAGTTTGGATCCATATGTGCTTGCATGCTTACATTTGGCCTCGAAGGATCCTTGGCCACTCTTTTTGGTAGGCCGTGTCAGCCCTGGGACTCAGCAGTTTGCCTCTCCTGCCTGCAGGCTGCAAGGGTACCTGCTGGATGGCATGTCTCCTGAGGAACTCAACAAGCTGATATACAACCTGACAACAGCTGCAGAGCGTGTCCGGCTGTCTGTCCAGCTCCGGAAAATTCAAACAGCGACGTGTCCCGCCTCTGGCCACGATAGCAATAAAGAGTCATCTGATGATGCAGTGTGACTCTTGGGCATGTGAGTCGCACCTTTTTGAACTCTTGCGATTTCATCGGCGCCTAGTAGGCCCCAGTAGAGCTTTCCCCGGGTATCCATTAATATTAAGTGGAGTCCGTGGGCCGGACTTCCTCCTGGGTCAATGTGACTGAACAGAACAACGGTTTACAATTGATAGGGTGAGGCGTCACCCGGAAACTGCCTTATGGTCACAGTTTTTACATGTGCTTTTTTGCTATGTACGGTAGTTTTTAGGGATTTATGGGTGGTTGCATGCGGGATTGGACGCGTCTTCACGATCGTGTCTGGGATTTTGTTGGTCAGTCGTCCACACTGCCAGGTGAAGATTAAAAGGAGTGCCTTTTTTAGCAAGCGGAGCCCTCGTGGCTTTGGATATGGGTTTTGACATGGTCGGCGATAAACCGAAGCGCTGCCAGGCGATAAATCGGCTCGGATCGAGTTCCCTCCGAGCGGGCCCAGCCCGACGAAAAGAAAAAAAAACACAGAAAGAGGGATGTGAGAGTGTGTCGTGTACGTGAAAGGCCGTGAAATCGACATTGCCATTCGGACTCACGCACGTTAAGAACTGGATCTAGGCAGGATGAATCCGTCGAGGCAGTGGGTGCATTTTTTTTATCCGTCGTCAGCCCCCCCCCTGTGGCGTGTTGAGCGGTGTATGTACAGAGGGCTGTGGTGCAGGGGATGACGGGGTGGGTGCTGGGAGCATTGGACATTTTGTGACCCCAACAGCGCCCTCCCACCTTGCTTTGCCGCCGCGGTTTCTGGGGCCCCAGTTTCGCACTCGTTTTGCGCAGTGCATCACGCTATGGCCCTTGAGGCCCGACGTCGAGGTGGTGCAACACGATAGTTTTCAATAAGCCAGAGCACATGATTTGTTTATTAAAAACGAAGGTATTTCATTGTGGGCTGCGGTGCCCCCCGAGTGCATGGCCACAGTGCAGCTCGGTAGCCGTGAGTGGGGTGTGCTCGACATGTGTGAGTGTGTGTGCATGTGCGGTTGTGGCCATTAGACGAATAGAGGGCGTGATGGGACGGGAGTGCTCGGACATGTTGTGGGACGTGGCGACAGTGACTGGGCCTCAGGGAACGTGGCTGGGGTTGTGGGCCGACGGTGGGTAGCGACGCTTGGCTTCCGGCAAGCCCTTGAGGATACGCGCTGCCACCGCTAATGGACTCTCGGAGATTTTGTGAAAGAAAATTTCAGGTTACCTGAGAATCGCATGAAACAGGGTTCCGGCTTTATGCACAAGGGCAAGGGCGGGCGGGGGGAGGGGAACGGATTCAACGTTGGGGTGTCCAGGGTCTCTCCTGTGATGAGCGAATATCGAAGGTGTACGCACTCGCGTGCGTTGTCATGTGTAGGGCCTATGCGCCCAGGATTTGAAGATTTGTGCGTGATAGTCGGTCGCACTCACGCTTGACTGTCTGCAGGGTGAGTTCTGCGTTTATTGTGTGGTTTGCAATGATGGTGTTTAGTCCTGCGGTGTGTCCTTCGGTGTGTGGCAAAGAAGGCGTGTCTGAGATGAGAGCCCCCCTGTGCAGACCTGAGGAAATCCAAAGACGAGATTTGAGGCGCATGGGTGCCTCGTTGATGATAGAATGTAATTGTTCACCGAAGGGCCCCAGAGTGGCGTGTGTGACGCATCTCAGAGTGGTGTGTGTGATGCTCCAGAGTGCTGCGTGTGCTCGCCCTGGCGTCTCGCCTGCGCGTGTTTTGTTGGCTTCGCTGTGTCATGGGCCAGCGCTGACTGCCGCTGCCCTTCCCGCGTCCTTGTCTTTGCTCTTGCGCAGCTTCCTGCCCTTATGGAAGATGTTTGGGCCTGATGTCGATCGAAATGCAGTGCGGACCGGGGCAGCCAGGAGTAGGGCCGCAGACGGTCTTGGATGGGTGGCGCTGTCATCTTGGCCAGCACTGCCGAGAATGAATAATGACGGTTCAATAGTGACGGTTTAATAAGGACGGTTTCAAGCAGTGCTCCACGGATGATGGTCCGGACGAACACCCAGCAACACTAGTATGGGGTGCAGGCTTTGGTCAATGCTTTTGGAAGTGGCTGGGTTCCATGAGAACGGTGCGACTTGTTTCTTGGGGCCCAATGTCACACCTTGAAGTACAGCAACCTTCGACACGGGCAGAGACTCGCTCACCTGGCGTCCGCCGTGTTGCCAATGCCGGAATTGATGGTCCAAGCTGGTCAGGCTTGCCGGCCTGCCGACCCCATATCAAATTTGCTATTGCCCCGTTCATCATCAAATCATGCGCGCTCGCGCTTTCTTGGCTTTCTTTCAAAGTTATTTGACTGCGACCGACAAGGCGCCACCCGCCACAGGCGAACCCCCTCCCTCCGGACTGGACATAGCACTACCCTGGCGGGACCACGCCGCAGTGGCACGACTGCCCACTTGTCGTACTCCACCTGCGGCTGAAGAAGCACTCAATGTACCGCCCGGCAGCGCACCCGAGGCCCCGTCGCGAGCGGCGCTTGCCACACCATCATGTAACGGTTCCTGAACAACAATTTGAGAGGGTTCCATCCCAAATGTGTACGCTCCAGAAGCCAATTCTCTCCCGCACTGTCGGACATGGAACTGACCATGATGCGGAACATGTCCTGGAGATTCTGTGTTTAACCCAGATTTTCATCCAAATATGCTTCCTCCTGGTCAGTGCTAAAGCCTAATGGGCTTGCGCTCTCTCGCCTTCCGCGATAGCAACCTGTGGGCCAGGGCGCTGGTCGCGCCGATCACCTGCAAGGTGGTGCGCCACCTCCGTACGACAATCATCGTCCCCAGCGGGCTCCTGTACTTTGGGGACGAGGTGGCGCCTAGGCACCTCCTGTGCGTGTGCTTGTCGCTGCTGGAGGGTGGTGAAGGCGGCGATGCAACAGGCATCCAACTGTGTTAATCCATGTTTGCGTCACATTTGTCATGCGACAAAGCAAAATCCTTTGCACCAAGACGGCGATGCTGGGCAAGTGGCCCCTAGCCCATGTGTTGTTCGATCCCACGCAGTTTGTTCGACTTCACGCAGCCAAGTGCTTGGTGAGGGATTGCGCACACTCATCAAACACAAGTCGGCGAATGCAATCCATGGATTGAATTCGTACTTTGGCGAATTTGCGGCTTCGACTCTTGGCCAGTCATGTATTTCACCCCCTGAAACTTCCGGCCAGGTTTTGGGTGTTTCGGGCGTGTGGGTGTTTGTGTGTTTGGGTGTTTGGCTCGAAGTGCATGACTGTGGTCAAGAATCGAAGCCGCACATTGATTTGAATTCATCCATGTGGCAATGATGGGAAATCTCCAGTCAAGGGAAAAAGCAATGCCACGGACCCAACACGGCGTTTGAAAGGCTGCGTTGTAGGGGCGGGGTGCATAACGTTGGCCATAGATGTGGCGGATGGAGCAAGTTTCGGATGGATGGAAGGTTCCCTGGGGTGCCCACGCCTTTTCTTGCCGCAGAGGTTGGGCATTGCAGCCATGGTGTCCCGAATGATGGAAGCAGATAAGAGCATGGAGGGATGGTTTCACACCTGACCAATGTTTTGGTTAGTTGCTTTGCACCAGTTGGAGTCCTATGGTGGTGCCCGTACCTCCTAAGAGGGAAAGGGCAACACTGTTCTTGCAACGTGGTTCAGAAGAGCTGGCCTGCGGAAGTTGCTCGCACTGTAGTTTGGCAGGAGTGTCCGAATCCTTGGGTGGCATTCACGTCTTCGCAAGAGGGGAACGGTGTTGGGAAGATCCAGTGGCGGTCTTGTCACTGACAGCCACCTTGCATTCCGTGGTAGAGCTTTCAGGCACCTCTCGGACAGATACGTTACAATGCCAAACAACTAAGCTATTTTTCCCATGTTGTCTTCCAGGGCGTTTCAATACGGTGCTCCTAAGAGAGGTGGCGATGTCCTGACCTGGTTTGTCGTATCTATGATGCTGATGTGATGTGAAGAGCGGAAAGGCTTTCGCAGGTGTACTTTGAGCAGCGATGCCCATAAGAGAGAGGACATATTCGAGGAGGCTGAAGGACAGGGATGCAGCAGCTGATTTGAGTTTCCCTTTGCATCAGTTGTAAGAGAATGGATTGTATCAGGCACAGCTGACCTGTACACGCCAAACTCCTGGGCAGTCCAAGATGCCTTTGCCTACTGGATGGGTTGTGTTGAAGTCTCCTTTTGATCTGTCCAACAAACTTAGATTAATCATACACCATGTGCCTGGGCAGATTGGTGATGCATCATATGCCAAGCAGGAGATGGAGACGGTGACCACGGCAGAGACAACTGCTGTTGCAGCAATTGGAGACACTGCAGTTGGGATAGTGTCGTTGTTTGCTCTGGGCACAAGCTGCCGCGATGTCTTTGTGGACCAAGCACAGCCTGTCAGCACTCACAAACTTGAGTTCATTGGATGCAGAAATGATGTGCACAATGGTCACGTGCAGCACTTCATCACTGGTGCGCGCTGTCTATCCTTGAGCTAACTCACTTCTCAAAAACTATAAACTAATATACAGTACAGCGCAGTCGCCCCATCACAGTCCATCCCACACTGGTCAGCATGAATCGCTTTCCCTCTTGACGACCTTGAGCTTGCCAGTGTCCCTGTCAACCTCGATCTTGATCCCCCTTTCTGCCAGCTCTGGCAGGTCCACGACGGTCTGCAGCTGAAGGCCAGAGATGAATTCCCGAGCTTCCGCGCTGCCCTCGCACATGTTCCGCACCGCCCACAGCGCCCACTCGTTCACCATCGGGCTGGCGTCGTCGAGGCGGCACTGATTCAGCAGGAGGGGCAGGCCCCCAAGGCCCATCACCGCGCGCTGCACCTCCGGTCGCCTGTACATCGAGTTGGCCAGGACTGCCACCACGTCCGTGCGATACCCCCTGTAAGGCTGCTTCCTTGGGAACCCGCCAGCAGCCCCCTCTCCGCCACATCGGCCCTCGCCGCCCATTCCCTCCTCCCTCCCTCTCCTGCCTCCTACCTCAGATTCCTCACAATCCTGACAAGTCTGGGATGCCATCCTGGGAATGGTTTCCCATCCTATCCTCTCAGATCCCATTTGCCCCTCCCCAACGGCAGGCACGGGACCCTGCCCGGGGCAGGCCCTCCCCGGCAGTTGGATCGGCTCCAATGACCTCAAGCAGCCCACCAGGCACTCCAGCAGGCCGCTGTCTGCGCACAAGGCCGACACGGGGTCGCCCCCCGCCTCCTCCCCCATTCCCTGCAGCCCGTCAAATCCTGTCCCACCCCTCAGGCATTGGAGCACCAGCTCGAGGCGTTCCGGCGCGTAGGGACCGCCCTTCGCTTCGCCGCACTCCGCCGCCAGCCGCTGCGTAAGGCAGGACAGCGCATTCAACGATTTGAGCACAATTTGCGCTGACAGCCCCCTCCGGGGCACCCACTCAAAAAGGTCCGGCAGGGCCAGCACCCGGAGGAGTTTTAAGTCCGGGGAGGCCGCAGAGGGGCCCGAGGAGTCCCCGGACGTCCCGACCACCTCGCCCAGTAGGCCCTCGCAGTAGCCAATGTGGCCAACCAGCATCGCCAGCCACTCCCTGGCGCCGCCACCAAACTCCAGGCCCCCCGCCGCGGCATCGAGAATCCCCCTCCCGCTCTCCCCGCACAGGTCCAGGCAGCACCGTCTCGATGCGCGGCAGCACGCGGTGAGCGCCATGCACAGCGGCTCGATCCCCGCCTCCCCCGCCGTCGCCAGGGACTCAAAGACGTCCGGGAAGCATCGGCGCCAGACGGACGCGGCGCCCTCCGGCGACGCCGTGGCGCAGTTTCCCAGAAACTGCGCGCACACGCGGAGCAGCCACCCCTCGCGATCGGGCCGGACGGGTCGGGACGCCGCCAAGTGAGCAGCGGCCCCCGCGGAGGCCACGGCGCCGGAGTCGACGATCGCAATCGCCGACGGGGCGCCCAGCGCGCACAGGTTCCTGAGCAGAGTCAGCACTTGGGAGATGGCATGCGGCGGGGCGTCGGAGTGTGGGCTGCGCCTCCAGGCGTCCAGGCATGACGCCAGCCAGGCGGCCGCCCGGGCGGGGGTGCCGTCGGCGAGCAAGTCGCCGGCGCCTTCCGGGGACTTGGACCGGCGGATGAGGAGGGCGAGGGTGTGATCGGGAGGGAGGGCGTCGGTGGCGGGTTGGTCATCGAGGGGTGACACCTCGGAGACCATGGTGGGGGCGCCGCGGCTGTGGGGGCGACTGCTGTCCGGCCTGTTGGGCGTTTGGGCGCGCGCCCTGAGGGGCAGGTGGTGGGCCTGGACCTTAAGGCTCGGAAAATGTCGCCGTTGCTCGTCGGAACCTACCCAAGAAGGTGCTGTGGTGTGGACACATGGAACAGTGTCAAAAGGTCACTATTTTTGTCGGCGACAGTGCAATTGTTCTTTTTTGCGACATGTTCTTTTTTGCGACAGTGGCGATAATTGATGCGCGAGATGTTGGCATCAGATTTGCCGCACCAACCCAGCGCGGTCCATGGGGCCTTCTCTCACAGCGGCGTTGAAGGCGCGTCTGTTCGGAGGGACCAAAAGGCGATACGGGAGTGTTTGGGGACGCCCAAACCCTGGGCTCCACCTTGTGGAGGGGGGCTGCTGCTGCCATTCAGCGCTCACTTTGGCACTGAGATTCAGCCGAATTGGCTGACGTTGGAGCCCCTGATTCCTCCCAAGCTCTGTTTTTGCAGCGCTAGCCCCCTGAAATGCGCGCAACTGGCCACGGGGGGAGATGGCGCCGCCAACTGGGACTGGGGGTGTTGCTCGTGATGCTGGCCGGGGAGGCCAAGGCGCTGGTTGCCGGCGCCATTGACGTCCAAGCATCCACCATCAAGGCGCCCACGCCCAGCGCCGTTGACTGGTCACACCAGTTTTTGCTGCCAGGTGGGGGCACGCCCTGTGAGCCACGACCTGTGGCAGGCTGCCACTGGCGCCATTTCAGCACTTGGCGCAACCTAGTGCCCATTTGGCGCCGCCCGGCCCTGTGCGTCCCCAGGCCCCAGACAAGCACAATGTCGACTCGTGAAGTTCGAGGAAGCGGAACAGCGATCCCTCGGGCGACGGACAACAGCGACGGCGGCTGGTAGCGGCCTATGGGAGGTGGCGGGTGGCGCGCCGCGGGGGCCGGGTAAGCGAGTCGGTTCAAAGGCCCCGCCGCCTTCCCAAGCTGTGCATTGGTCATATTCTCAGTCGCAAAAATGAACAATCCACTCATAGAAAAGAGTAGTTTGGCACTATCGCAAAAAAGAATAGTCCACTGCCGCAAAAAGAGATATTCACCGTGTCACGTCAAAATTCGCTGATGAGCAGCGGTGTGTTGCATCGCCAATATTGCTTACCCCACACCCTCACCACCACCAGTAGTGTTTGGGGATCCCATGCCTTGGTCCACTCCAAAGTCAGAGACATGACTCTTGTTGACTTTTCCCAAGGGCAAAAGCATGTGACAGTGTTCCTGGTCTTGTGTTGGGGCACCCTAACTGATGTTAACACGTTAAAAAGGGAACGAAACACAGGCCCAATGGCAATCTAGTTGACTTTGCACATGTCCTGCGATTCAACACGCCACCTCTGCAACAGAAAAACGGAGCGTCCGAGCAGCTTCCGAGCGGCTTGGACGCGTCCGCGCAGCGCACAAACGTGTCCGGAGGCCACTGAAGGTCGGCCGAGGCTCTCTGACGGTTCCGCGCGGCACCCGGACACTGCCAGAGTCCCCGAGGCCCTCGGCCGCGTCCGGAGTGTCCAAGCCCTCGGACGTGGCAATGGGATGATGCGTGGACGGTTGGAAAGGCGTACGCTGAATGCTTGGCCAGTTTTGAGTGTGCACGGGGAATGCGCAGACAGTTTGAGTCTCTTGGAGGTGTGAAAGGAAACACAGTCCCAAGTCCCAAGTGTCCTGTGTGCCGTTCCAAGTTGGTGTGCATGTTGAATCTATGACGCACTGTCTTTGGATCTGTCAGATCATAATCTGTAATATATCAGTAATCTCATCATGGATATTGTCTGCGGAGATTATTGGATTTGTGCGCTGGCACGTGGTGTTCCTAACAGCAGTTCAGGTGCGCTTCCAGTCCTGTATTTGTTTCGTTGCAATGAATTTGCACGAACGTCAATGTCAGCTGACATCGACGTTCGTGCACACATATGTGCATATATGCATACATGCAAATGGATGTCCAATGCCCCCAAAACTTGTTTTGATACATCAATTGTTTGACGGTTTTCTTGGCACCCAACAACAGTCTGTGCTCGTGTAGTCTCCCACAAGGTGAAAAGAGGTTGCGATTCGTAGCGCAGTTGCGCAGGCAAATTCAACTATGCCACAACCAGCCATGGGGTCCATCCATTACAATGACTGAAACTACCAGTTGTAGTATGCTATTAACTAGGTTTACAATATGATTCAATCACATGATGCATCCCAACTGGGTCAGTTCGCTGGAAACTACGCAAGGGCCGTTCACATTTTTTAAGAAGGACCGTTCACATTCTTTAACAATTTTGAGTGTGAAAGTCCCATCCTGCCTCCCACAAGCAAAGGCCCTGAGTGGTGCTGACAAAAGATATCTAATCGAGTGGAATTCAACGCACCACATCTCTTCAGCCATTGAAATTCCATGTCAAGAGTCCGGCTTGGGGCATCATCAGCTTTGAATCATCAACTCAGCCACTCTGGTATCCTCGACTACGGTGATGTTGCACCTCTTCAGCACGTCTGCCAGCCGCGCTGCCAGCTGATGCTTGCACTGGTGAGCCAGATCACAGAAAACAGTCGGTAGAAATAGCATAAAACAATCTGTACCCCTGCCTGATGTCCCAAGTGTGCTCATGATGAATGCAGCCTTGTGAAACAAGCGAGGAACATACACATAAGTCGCCACATCAACACGTATCACTCACTTTGGTAAGAACTCGTGGCAACCTGCACATAGCAATAAAATGGCACTCAATTACGGCAATAACTGCCAAACAAACAATATTGTTGCCTCTTACAACAAAAATATGGGGCTTTGGCAATCTTTTCTTTTCACTAAGCCCGAAGACTACAAATGGCATGAGTGAAGAGAAACCACCTTTGCATCTTGATGCTGCTGACAAGCATAATTCCACCCAACATGTTTGTCTTTTCATGGATTCAAGTGACACTTGAGTGGGGAGGACGGGACAAGGGGTTCCTACATGAATGGAGTCGCTTCGACACACCACTTCATAGAAAAACGCATGGCAGGAGCAGTAGTGGGAAGGGAAGACCGTGTAGCAATCAGCAGCCGATTTTCCCCGAACCTGAGCACAAAAGAAGCATCTCATCACCTCAACAAATCACACTGATGATGACCTGAGGGTACAAGACTGCACAGACACAACACACACATCCACCCACAAGGCACCACAGGGCCTTGGAAGGGAAAAGCTGAACTGGCATGCCTGCCTTCTACATATGAAATGCAAGAGCTGCAAGCATTGCTATTCACAAATATGTTGCACATAGCAACACAATGGATGGGCATGTCTGATGGTTCAATTCGTTATCAATCCTCAAGAAGGCCCAGACCCAAAGATGATCTTGTAGAAGATAACGCCTCTGCAAGAGTTCATCGTATCAAGACTGCTGAGGTAGCTGCCCATCGCAGGGCAACGACCCACTTTGGACAAGAACAGTTTTCAGTGGACCTGGTTGGCAACAGCGCACCTGGAAAACCCTCCTCTTCGAATTCCTCCCCACAAAGCACTCCACACCTCCAGCATCAACTATCTCAAGTGCTCTAGCCAGATTTCGTTGGAACAAGACGTTTAAACTGCATTCCCAGTACAAACATCAGCACTGGCTGACTGATTACCAGACAGCCTGGGCCATATTCTGTCTATCAACGCAAGCGCAAATGCTGGCAAACGCTATTTAGGTTGAATTGTCATGTTTGATGATGCTCCAGAATATACATATATACTCTCGGTCTCAAATGCCTACCAAAAATCTCCGGACCGTCTGATCATCAGTTTAAAAGGGCGGAATCCAGTGCCACTGCCACTGCACTGCAGTGCTTACATGCACGTTTGCAGCCCTTGGATGGTGACATTCTGATAACGCTGAGCTTCGCAGTACACTGACTAATATCAACAACATCACTGTTTTGCTTTGGGAGGATGCCATCACACAGGATATCCACAAACGAGCGACTGGTTGAGGACATTGATGTAGTCAAACTCCTTACTTCCAGCAATGAATCCCAACGAGGGTTCCTTGATGGAAGCTGCGCCAGTGGGAGGCACGAACACATCAAAGCCATCCAGTGAATGCGTGGGCACACGCCTCTAACCTTCGACTCCCATCTGTTGCTTGCATGGTTGCTTCTATTCAGCATTTCCACGGATAACGTTTTTCGGCCGTTGCTGCACCCCTCTGGTTTGTAGCTGCACATCGCCCTCACGGGGTGGGAACCATCCGGCCTGAAAACTGGTCTTTGGTTGTCTCCGGCTGTGGCCTTGTGCAAATCAAGGCGTGTCCGCAACGCCAGATACAAGAAACCAGACGAAACGAGAAGCTGATCGTCGCGGCAAACGGTGGTGGGTGAGGATTACTGTCAATTCCAAGCTCTCTCGCGCGCAGGCGACTTCTTGCGCGCACCAATGCGCCCACCCACCTGCTCAGATGCTGATCCGTAACTGCCAATGGGCATTGGGGAGCGAAGGTCCCGGTCAGCGGACTGACAAGGCGACCACTGCAGGATGGGAAGGTGCGGCACACCGCTACTCACTCGTGCCCTGGCATGACTCGATATCTTTGAAAACCGTGTCGGCGACGCTGGACACACCGCACACGTCGTTGGAGCCCGGTTGTCGGAGCCAAGAACTGGTGATTAATGACCGGCAAAGCCGACCCGCGGGTCAGGTTGAACCATCGGAATCGAATCGATGCGGGGAACACGAAAAGAATCTCCTCAAACGACACTTGGATTCGGCGCATCCAAGGCGCTCTTGCTCAGGCTCAGGCAAGCAATCCCGGCACGCAGTGCACGAACAGAAAAAACGCGCCAACCTTGAGAGGCTTGGGACGTGCGGCAACGCCGCAGCGCTCATCTCCATCTTGCTCGTTGCTTGGCGTTGGCCACCCGGGAAAAAGCAGAAAGGGGTGTTGCCGCGGCAGGGCCTGCCAGGTGCCTTGCAGCGGAGGTTGTTGCCATGTCGCTGGTGCTTGACAGGAACATGCGCCAGAAATTTGAAAAGAAGATTATATATAGGTATATATTCATTAAATCTCAAATTTGATCAGCACCAATGGCGCAGCTGGTTAGCGCGTCGGTCTCATAACACACAATGATGAGAAATCCGGAGGTCGTGAGTTCGATCCTCACTTGGTGCAAAGTTTTGCGCAATGTCATCCTGCGCGAGGGCTACTATTATTCTTATGGAACATCAACTTGTCCGCACATCTTGCCCCATGTGCAGAATGGAAAAGAACAATCTGACCCTTCAGATGAACACGGTCTTTTGTCTTTCCGGCCTCTTTTTGCAAACAAAGTTGCGGATGCCATGGTGCCCCAGCTGTCCTTGCAATTTGCACTTGTGTCGAATCATTGACAGGATCTCCACATATCTGCCCCCAACCCACTTCCACCCTCCCTGTCTCCAGAGACTTCCACACCATCTTCCACACTGTGAGAGCTGTTCTACTGCAATAGCGGTATGGAAGAGTCTCACCATCTTCATCTGTTTGACAAGGAGTGCACATTGTATGGCAAGTTGCTCTTCATTCTTACTCTGAATCCTTTGTACATTGTAAAAGGTGGCCGTCAGACATGGCAGCCACCCGAGCGAAAATCCACAAAGCGCCAAACCAATCCAATCCGCTTCGCCTGTCCCGCCTTTTGGCTTGATTGGATTTGTGTCGATGGAGACGAATCTCGGGTCGAACAGCTCCCTTGTGAACACATCGCTATCGATTGCGCAAAAGAAAATCCGGCTCGAACTAGCCTCTGGGCTCACCCAGAAGTCCAGGCTTTGAGTGAGAAACATGTGGGAAGCCGCTTCGATTCTCACAGAATCGCTTGGAAACCCATGTACTCGAATGGCGAGATCGCAATGGGCGCGCTCTGCCGAAATTCGAGCACAGGAGACCTCAAACTCTTGGCTATGAAGCCGATCTGACCGGGCTGCGCGCCACGGCCTGTGCGCATGGCTCGCACACGAGGAGAATGTCAACGGAGTGTTGACAATTTCACAGACTATGGTCCATCGGTTCAACCCCTCAGACACTGGGCGCAGCAGCATGGGCCCCCCACACAGCTGTCAAGCGTCACAGAAACACGTAAAATACATCTGCCTAAAGCACAAGAATTGAAAAGAAATGACATCACATCTCGACCTAGCCTGCTGCGAATAAATCATGCATCTATCTGCCAGAAAACCCACGCCATGTTTGGCGTCTTCGGACACAGCAATCCTATAAAAGCCAGACCTGTTTCCAACAGCGATCTTGATACTTCCTCAATCAATTAAACCAGGGTGGCAGACCTCCGGGTCACTGATGTCTTCAGCATAGGCTGACAGCTGTATCCACAAACTCCAAGGTCCGCGACGACATTAATCAAACTGATTGATCACGTGATCATGTGCACGTATTCTTGAAACTTGGCACAATAGCCATCAAATGCGTAGATTGCTTTGTACACGTCGTAGATTCGTTAGAGCACGCACCAACACCTCTCTCGGGTCAGTCCCAGCTGACCACCTTTGATGAAAAGCTTTGGCCGTCGTTGGCAAAGTCTTCCCCTCTGGGAAGGCGTTTACGACGTGCAATCTCAGCCCTGCAGCGTCCCACTGGACGCCCACGATGGCTGCCCTGTCTGCCTTTGAGACTAATCGGTGGCAGTTCATCATCCGCCCCTGCGAATCCCGTTACCTGGCCCCGTGAGACCGTTGCTGCGTTGCGCCACCACCAGCGCTGGTGCCTCTTGCCGTCTGCACGTTCTGCAAGCCGCAATCCCGCACAGCCTTCGAGGCCTCCACCCGGCCAGTGGATCCATCGGCGAAGATTCGCCACGAGTCGCAGCCGTCGCCGGTCCCACCGACTGCCATCGGTGCTCGCAGCCCTTCGATCCCGATCGCCGGTGCGAGCCAATCGGCGCGCATTGCTGCAGCCGATCAGTGCAGACCCATCCTCCTGGCAATGCTGCTTTGTCGGACACCGTTTCTGAGTGAGGACGCAGCTTCGTGGGCAAGGCGCATGCGTCCATAAGTGTGGCGTGCGGAGCCCAGCGCGCCACGTCACTTCCCAGGATGCAGCACCTTTGCGGCGTCAGTATCGTGCGCCGTATCTTGGCAGAATCGAGTGCACATCGGGATACTCGTACGCCTTGCCACATTGTCGCCTCCGTATTCTCCTTCTATGGTGGAGTTCGTCCCTTTGGAGGAGATTAAGCCCTTATACTTTTACGGATTTCCGCCACTTCCTAGCCACCTTCTGAGGTTCACGGGCCGCCACCTTTTGAGGTTCACGGTTCGCCAGCTTGCAATAAATTTCATACCATATATTGGCGACCCGAACAACATGTGCTGCCGCATTTACCACCACTGCGCCATGCACAACACAACTGGTGGCCAAGGCCGCTCTTCAGGGATTCCACAACACAATGAGGCAGTGCACAGTGTTCCTCGTGATGACTTCCGTTTACTCGCGAAAGCGTTGGGACGTGGCATCTATTCAGTTGTAGGAATCCAGAAGTGCTGTAGAACTAGTGCCAGAAGCCACAGGTTCTTTTGCTGTTAATGTACTCTAATGCCAGGCCACAAATTACTAAAGATCTTATAGTGTTCGTACGTTGTGTCTTTTCCCTATTCTTGCTGCTACTTTACCAGGGAAGGTGTGTGCAACACCGCATGGACAGCCCGCTGGCTTCAAATGTGTCGCAACAAAGAGCTAACGGCGTTGTTACAGCTCCGCTGCATGCTTATCCTACGGGGCTCTGAGACTCTTGCAGCATGTCACACAGAATGGAAAAAAATACTCCCACAAATCTCCGCCCGGGGGGGGGGGATTGTTGTGTGCTCCCTTCCGTAGTGCACTGCGCCAGTAAAGACAATTTATGCTCTGTGCGCAGCCGGGAAGTTTCACGAGATGCCTGAGACTGGCGAAAATACCAAACCATTACCATACGTTGAACAGAGATACTGGCTGTGGCAGTGGGGTGTCTGGTCTCGCACTGCACTTTTTTGCTGCCAGCATCCAGCCAGCCCATCGACGTTCTCCCTCTGTGCGGCGAACAGGCACCAAAAGATGTTGCTGCATGTTGATCTCAAATACATGCGTGGGTTGTTTACGTTAGTCAACCATTGCCCCATGGCATCCCCTTTGACAAACAGACAGATCCACATATTGCGCACACCTTCATCTCCGATCAAATATATGGCACATGTTTCCATGTCTTCACAAACACCTTTGGAGGTGCCTCTTTCGTGCATTCAGGGGTTAATCGTCTCCATGCCATCGTGCTCCAAAAAGTGTGAGTCCCAATCAGGTGAAGATGGTACATCCAAAGCACATTGTTCGTGCTTGCTTGGCATGACGTGTTTAAGACCAACCCTGCCACAGCTGTTCCTAAGCCTGTACTAGTGGTACATTTGACTGAAAAATGTTGTTGCCCAATAGGGTGTGCCCATCTAGGGATGCCGATCATAGGGATGCCGACATCAGCACAATATCCACGCTTATGCAGCACCACCTTGCAATTCAGAAGGAAGCAGCAGGGAAACTCAAACACTCAGCGCATCAAACAGTAAAGATGAGCAAACCAAAACCTAAAGAACTCAACAACATGGCTGGGACCACAATTGCACCAGTCAATCACATTCCATCCATCCCCTGCACCCGCAGGCTCACTTGTGCTAGTCCTACATTGTCGCAGCGCCGAGGCTGTCTCAAAACGAAGACGATCAATTTGCTGACCACTTCAGACTGAAATGTCTTGGCCAGCTCCTGGATGCCCTCCACATCCTCTGCAGCAATGCATAAACATGTGGTCCTTAGTATACAGGTAAAGCTCATGTCTTTGCATCAAGCTCAAGCTCAACAACATGTGTAAATACTCAAGCAGCAAAAAACACATCAGTGGAGTTTACACATTCCTTACGCAGCCAGATTCGCGCATACGGGATTAGATACCACATATTCTGACCAACTTCAACTGCACTTGTGTGATGATGTGCGTCCCTCACAAATAGCAAGTTGCCAACAGGAACTTATTCTGGGAAAACGGGAGCTCGTTGGATTCTGGTTGACTAATGCTGCAAACCAATGTTTTTCGCACAGTGTCTCTTCAATAGTGCATGGGTTGAGGGAACAAAGAGCCAAGAACCACAACACTTGTCCCGATACACATGGTTTTCTGTTGATGCACAAAATGGCACACCAACATCCCTTAAGAGATGCATGATGTGTACTATGCGAATTTGATACACTTTTGACACATGTCGTCAAGTAGAGTTGGGCCAATGTGCACGCCACTGTCAATAAATATGCAAGTATGCATCAGCAGCAAGTTGCCGCAGTATTGCGACAGAAGGGCGACATGAAGAAGGAAATGTGGTGCAGGGATGGTTGTTAAGCACTTGCCATCAACCCTTTGCGATTGGCCACTTGATTTGCGAGTAACACTATGATCCTGAGCATCAATCCAAGTCGTGCGTTTTGTTTAACTTTCAGTTACAAATCCAACATAGTGAATGCCTCAATGTATGTTAGCATATCTCAATGCCCAGGAACATGTCCCACAGTCTCTTTGGGGACACGCGGATAGCCATATGCATTCATGTCCTGGACACATTTGCTTCAAACCCTACATCCCCAACGTAAACTTACACAGCACACTTGTTTCTGTGCAATTGCAACCACCCACTCCATATCGTACCATGCAGTAGCAACTCCATGGAGCGGACAATGGTATCCATCTTCCACCAGTTCATTTGGTGGTCTTGGCCCCGGCATGCTGCAATGATGGCCTCTGCTGAAAACAGAGGTGATACAGATTCCACCAGCCCCGTTTCAATGTGTGCTGGATCATTGTTATCCTCCTTGCCTCCTTCCTGCTGGGGAGTGGAAAAATGAACTTGATACTGATTCACAGTCAAAAAATCACCATCGATACCAAGTGTGCAACACAAAGCACGTGCTGCTGTGTTGTAGTGTCCTGGTGTCTGTACCAGTGGCCCAAACTGTAAATGTGCGTATTCCGGATATGCGAAAGATTACTGCTGCCTATGCAAGCGATGCTAGCCATTCTTATTGTCAACAAGTGCATAAGTAAAACCCTTTGGTTCCTTCTGCCACCCCAAAGTTGCTTAAGCAGACATAACCATTTAATTTTGTCATTATATGATTGAAAACATTGTAAGTTGAGACTGTGTACTGAATAAGTTAATAGTCCCTGATTTGCAACATGAGTAGCCACCCACCCACCTTCATGAGCTTGAAAAGGAGCAGGGTGGAGTACTGACACCTCAGTAACAGAGGCGGCCCCAGCCCCAGCCCCTCCCTGTCCACAAACTCCAGAAGCTTCAGCTGCGACCTGTGGGTCCCCAGCGGCAGCAGACTTGCCACCACCTTGGAGCCCAAACTGGCTTGCGACGCAGCATCTGGTGACTTGCCTCTGTTCCCAACCAGGGCACCTGCTGCAACGCATATCTCCTTTTCCAAGCTCCCAGCCACAGGGTGAAGAAGCAGCCTGAAAATCGCTGTCAGCAATTCTGCAGTTGTCACCACATCCCAATCGCTGCAGTCACTGTGAGGCACCCTGTAGAAGATGCCTATGAGCTCCAGCACCAAGCGCGCATTTCGCAAGCCCTTGGGCCCCAGGTACTTAAGGGACTGCAGCAACAAACCAAGGCTGGGGGCCCAACAGCCTGGCATCCACGTCTCCTTCAGCATGAAGTATGCAGCACAGATGTCCACATCCACAGTCGAGTGCACGACCACATCAAACAGCCATGACATTACCCCCTGGGGAGGCACCTGCTCTGTGATCTCGTAATGCAGCTTCAGTCTGCCTGACACAAGCAGTTCCCTTCCGACGTGATCGGAGCAGCTTGGCCCCATGTCCTCATCAAGGTCCCCACCCAGCACCTCGTCCACAAACTCCCTTCCCAAAGGTCCCACAGGTGTTGGGCCAGAGGCTGCCGGCTGGGGGATGGGCGCGAACACCTCAGGCTCGATGTTCTGGTCAAGGCATTCATCATCACCACAGTTACTCGCCTCTCCCATCGGAACGTCGGGGGTATGCTCTGTCGCAGGCTGCATTTCCCTTGCACGCGCTAGGCGCTTTGCTTTGAGCTCCTCTCGTTTTTTCTTGTCGTTGGCTACTTTTTGGCCGAATTGTTTGAGGAATGATGTCTTCTGGTCTACCCTGCAGGGTGCGCACCAAAATACTGATCATGGTCCTGGGTGGGGACAGTGATGCCAACTGACTGACAGCACTGCAAGAATGGCTGTACATACAGAAATTATTTGGAATATGGCCACTGGAACACAAGCTCTCTACCATTACCAAAACCACAAAGATGAGGCAAGAGCATAAAGAGAGAAGTCCAGCCTTTCAACACCACTCCACCACTCAAACACATCATTTCTGACTACTCAGATCATTCATATGGCCATTTGCAGGCCTCAAAAATGCTTGCAAGCCACAATAAACAAGAAATTCAAGGCACCGTACAAGTTGTGGATCAGCCCAGCCACGGCTTCCCCGTAAGTTTTCTTGCAGACAAGATACGGTGACCAAGGCGTTTGAATAGGAGCGACATCGCATTTTTCCATAGAAATTCGGGTTGTCTCACACAAACATTAAGTGTGATCGAAAAAGGCATCCCATGAGCCAAATCAGGGCAAAAAGAACTGGCACAGTATCAAACAAATTCATCAATTTTCGTACTGGCAGTCACCTCAGGCCATCTCATGCAAAACAAACATTCTTTGGAATACAGAGAAATCGCCAGCCATTAAATCGCTATTGATCCACGCAGTGAAGTGGTGGTGATTATGTGGCTACATGCGAACAAGAGCCTAAATTGCGTGGAGGGGCAACCAGGTGTCAATTGCCTGCAACAATGCAGACCTTGCTCTGACATAAATGCACTCACCAACTCTTGGAGGACATAGTGCCGTCAATCGCCCTGGGAAGGAACTTTGATAGAGCTGAACACCTGATCAGCGCTGCAGCCAGTCAGAGGCACAAAGGCATCAATTCAAAAGCTCCAACACTGATTTACTTGAGGCCGATGTTGAAGCTGCGGAGAATACGTCCCAACATTCATGAATCCACACAACCATCACCACAATTGTTTCAATTGAAGGTAATGTGCTCCTATGATGTTTGGTATTCTCCATGGTCTACAGCACAGGTAGCAGCCATCAGCACCTGGGAATGCCATCTCCCACATCAGCAATGTTGGGCACAACTGCAAAAGTACTATTTTTGTCACGACCAGCCTATGCTGCCAAACATCAAGTCATGCACACAGTGTGAAAGTGCTGCAAAGATGCAATGCAAGACAGCTGGGCTACTCTCAACTGCTCTGGAACAACTGATATTGGCAAAAAGACACACTGCTCTCACAGCATGCAACTCTTGACGAATTCGACAGCTGCAGAAGCATGCTGCCATGAATCCTCTCTATGCCCTGTCCGTCGTCCCATGGTGGACACAAGGAAGAGAGTGGCCCATAAACTATAGTTCAGAGGTCAGTGTCCATAACTTGGGAGCTACGCTGCTAATTTAAAGTCATCCGGTGATAACCTATCGTCAGGGGGTCAGCTTGTGAGCCAAGGGCAATGCCGACTGATGGGTTCCACTTTTGCCAAGGTGATCGATGACAGGCCCAGCCATCAGTTCACAATCATCAAGAGGTGGAAATTGAAATCCGGAGTCTGGGGGGCACACGCATGAAAGCGCGGGGGAAGGGGGCTACCTATGCATGGGCATAGAGGACACAAACAAGAAGTGTGGCGGTGGAAATCGAGAGAGGGATTCTCAAATGCAAACAAAACATTCGCAGATTAGCTTCTGCATGTGCATGGGCTGCACAAGCCGCATGCGGCTTCCTGTTTTCATCTTTTCTTCAAGAAATATTACTCTTTGCTGCTCCAGGCACGAAAGGAAGATATTCCGTTGTCAATCCTAGCGTGTGATACATCTTTCACCGTATTAGTGTTTAAAGCCACGTCTGTGGATTTTCCCAGAGGAGGATAGTGGGCATGTTACATCTTTGCATATCCCACACCGGTTGTCAGGCACCCGGCGCCAACACGGGACCGCTTAATCCCTGTAGGTCGCAATAGGCTTCAATTTGCTGCTCTGGGTTCCTGTACTGAACGCAGTGCAAATCGAATTGATCGACACAAATTTCAGATGCATCCAATTTTGTTACGACGATCGCCGCCCAGTGCCCAAAGCCGTACGCGTCCGTTGCTGTCCTGGAAGCTCACCAGATCAGAAGCGACGTCAAATCGTCGTTTTCCAAGCCAAGGGTGCTCCGCACTTCCCGTCTCCGGATACCCCTGTCTCAGCGGGAGGGGCCGCAACGCACGTGCTCCAACCGGCCGCCTTGAATGCGAGCGGAGTGGAAATCCCACAGACCGAATCCACCGGCTGTCCGCCCGTCAAAGGCGGAGGGCTGCACCTTCGAGGGGTTTGTGCGCTCTGCGGCTGCGTACGGGGAGCGCGCCGAAGTGGCGGGAAGGGCGGGGCGCCTCGGTTGACTACTGCTGACCACGCTCCGCGCCAGAATCGCGACGTGTGGCGATTTTCTGAGTACCCCGCCGGAACCGCGTACCTTCATGATGGGTAACATTATAGTAACTGAATGATAGGAAAGTCTATGCACGTTGGGATGTTTTGCAGTTGTTTATGAAGGCTGTAGGTTGTGCCCTGCCCGTACGACGATGAGGTGACAATGTCGAGAATGCTCGCTGCCTTGTGAGGAAATCCCATGACGGATAATGCTGTCAGCTACCCTTAAACCGGAAGACTAGATGACAAACGACAACCCCATGAGCCTATGCTGGAGGGATGATGACGTGCTGCCTTGTAAAGCCGCTGCCGGATGCCAGGAGGGCGAGCTGGACCGCTGAGGAGACGACCGACCACCGGAGGACGTACCCACACCTTTGGATCTGGAGGTGGGAAGTCTGAGGAGTATTCCACACCACGAGCTGCGCCCCGGCGAGGGGAGTCGGACCAGATACCTCGGGTAATTGACGAGTTTAGTAGAGTTCTGGGCCGCCCAGGGCGACTTCCGCGGCTTAGGAGTGGGAAGGTTACCATGGGTAAGGCAGCCAGTGACTTAGGCCGGGAAGGTTACCATGGGTAAGGCAGCCAGTGACTTAGGCCGGGGGGGTTACCATGGGTAAGACAGCCAGTGACTTAGGCCGGGAAGGTTACCATGGGTAAGGCAACCAGTGACTTAGGCCGGGAAGGTTACCATGGGTAAGGCAGCCACGGGTTAGACACCCTGGGTAACGCACCCCGCGGCTTCGGGAGGGTAAGGATACCCTGGGTAACGCAGACCAGTACTTAGACAGGAGTAGCCAGTATGTTGAGACGCGGGTGGCGCACCCTGGGTAAAAGGTACATTCGTACCGTGTATGGAACTGACGGGACCTTTCAAGGAACCTGGGTAACGGTGCCGCGCCGGCGGCTTGGGTATTTAAAGACACACGGCTTCACTTGTAAGAACCAACTGCGAACCTTGGGCCCACCTCGCCGTTGTGAAAGTGTCTTTCGGGGATTGTACCCCGCTGAGTGGAGAACATGCCGCGCTGACAGACGCCCATAGTGGGTGCATTTCGCCGTCGAGTTTAGCTCGGACGGGCGAGCGTCTCAATTCGTGCGTGACCGGCTCATCGCTGGAAGATTCGCCGTTGGGACGCCATTCCTGCGGTGGTTCGAGGCTCGACGCCACACGACGCCCTTGGCAGGGTTTAGGGCCTGGTTGAAGCGGCTTAGGGCGGTCTGGCACTGGACACGTGCTCTTGGCTCGGAACTTGGTTGCCCATTCGGTGCCCTTGCAAATTTCAGACCGTGGGGTTTTAGTTTTAAACCCTTCCGCATCCGAAAATTTTACGATTGCGCTTTTCGCTCCGCATTTTCTTTTTCAGACCTTTACTTTTGTAATGTTTTACCTTGCTCCGCAACAATTTTATTGAAAGAGCGTTATTTGATTTATTGTTTCTCCGGGCAAGCGTTACGTTACTGTGAGGAAGGGTTTAAAACCTACGGCACTGGGCAGAGTTCAGCTCACAGCACATGCGCGCTAACAAATGGCGCAATGGCGGCGGTCGTGCATCCACCTGCAAGGCGAGTCCCATTGTCGCCAGACACGGCGCCACCACGGAGCCAGTGAACTCTTCGAGGGGGCCTACACAAACTTCCTCACCAGCTGACTGAATTGGCGCCATCCACGTTTGTGTCGATGCCGCATCGCAATCCTTTCTTGGATGGGGGATCGATCGTAACCCTGAGCTTGGCCCTCAACACCGATGGGTTTGAGGGAAAAATGGGGAGGTTCGTGACCCAAGTCCACGAACTCCAGCAGTCGTTAACGCGGCTCGAGGCCGTGTTGCAGCCAATGCAGCGGCTGTAGAAGCACGAAATTATGAGTTGCTTCCTTTGGATGCCAGCTGCCTTGAGCGCTCAAGGGAAACTTTCCAGCAAAATCAGGAATGTTTTGGTCAACTTGCTGGCATATGCCTTTTGTGGGGGCAAAGTGGACCCCTTCGCGTCAATCCAGCGCCAAGTGTGACCAAATCATGCCTGTGTAGCCCCTCACGTCAAATTGGAGCTGATCTCATATCGACCCTTTTCATTAACGTCAATCTTAACGTCGGTGCCCGGATCATGATTCATAATCCATGTTTGAACGGGGGTATGTGACATGGGCGTTTGAAGACAGAGCACGACTTGCAGCAGCTGCTTTCCAGGGTCTTCGTTGAGTGCGGAAATGCCACAGTACCAGCTTTTTTGACGATGCCAGCTGCTCGTGGAGTAGTTGAGGAATTTTTGTGGAAGTTGAAGGCGATTTGTGCGTCTTCTTGGCTCACTCCCGTTTGGTGGACATTGCTAGGTTTAGCTCCTGAGGCCCCAATAACACCACCAAGTGGCAATGCGACAAAACCACAGAATTGCTATCTTGCAGGGCAGTCATTGCTTGCCGCCGTTTCTTTCCCAAAGTTTCATATGGCGAACAAGTAATGAAACTAACGCCCAGAACCTGTTTATTGAGCAGTTAAGGGTTTTGCAGCGTTATATTTGTTTTCTTTCTGCTCTTCGCCAGTCGGGTTGCCGGCAACAGGTGGCGTAGCTAAAAGCGCATGTGTCACAGGCGGACCCGCGCCTGCTAGCCTGGGCATCAAGCTAATCTACAGCCATTTCGAGCCAGCTGTGACACAATAGACTTGGGAAGCCACACATGGAATCACAACACCACTTAGCAGCAGCCATTCAAGCATTCCTTGAAAGCCCTTCTTAGAAAGCGACAGTGAAATGGGTCAGATTTGAAGAGTGCAGGATCTTGCAACAAGAATCGACGTCTCAAGCCTCGCTTGGCAACAGCAACGGACCAGCACAAGATTCACGTTTGCACTTGTTCATCGCTAGGATAGCCTTGTTATTGCACAAGTGCCAACATGCACAACGACATGCGATCGTGTACCACCATCACTTCGTCACATCTGAAAGTGGTAGTCAATATCACCCCTGGTCAAGATGTGCGCATTGCTCACAGATTTGCCGATCTTGGAAATGCTGCCCACGAGCTGCCCAGCACAATACGGGAAAGCATCATCAGGCAGGAGGTCATCTGTGCCCATGTACCTGCTGAAAAAGCACGCAGACAGTAAGTACCTGGGTGCTTGAAAGCTGCTTATTGTCATCTGTTTTGCTGAAGCACTTGGGCATGATTCTTGCAATACTGACACCATGCAGCCAACGCAGAAGTTAGCCACCAACAACTTGCGCAACTGAGCCTCCAGGGCAACGTTTGGTTTCACAAAGACAACTAACAGCAGCAAATAGTTTGTGAAGTAAGCAAAACTATATCTAATATAAAAATACATATCTGTGTAAAACCAACTTGGAAGCTGCTGGAGGTGGTAGGGTTCACAATTGTGGGATGGGAGGCACTCTAACAGCAGGCTATGAGGACTCTGCCACCAACTGTGGGCCTCAGCTCCCCAGTTCACCATCAGAAGATGCCAGTGCAAGAGATCGCGCTTCTTCCTGAATGCATGCTACTTGGTGTTCCAGCATGCACACCAAGTTCAGCGCTCCATAAGCCAATCCACTCTCCTCACCCCATAGTACACCAGGCACTGCAACGATGCTCAGTCTGATTACCTGTGCTTGGCACGTGATATTTTCACACAATAGAGTTGGCTGCACTTGCAATTCTGGGCCAGAGATCTGCGCACTCCTTTGCAACAGGTCCTGTAATAGCAGATCCTGGAGGAACAGCACTGCCTGTCAATATGCCTGTACAAGACCCCTGAAAACAAATCCACTCACCACTGCTGTTATCTTTAAGCATGGGAAAAACAGAACAGCCACTGAGGAGGGTACACATCCTCATCGTGTCTTTGGCGATTCCAACACAGCATAGTTGGCAAAACAGCAAAAGGCGCATATTGGAGCACACAATGCAACGCATGAAGGTGGGGATGAGAGCTCAAAGAAAAGAAAGCAAAGAGATTTCCATCCAGGAATTTCCTTGTTACTGCTTGGGGACGCAGTACCAAGGTGTAGTAATGATATCAATGCCAGAGCAGCCCAGTAAGGGTGCAAGTGGTCAATGGAACAAAATAAAATAGCCAATCAGCACCCCCATGCAGTGTTCCAAATAACGATTGGGATACACCATTCAAATGGACAGTAGGGTTGATTCTGACTGAGAGAATTTGCCATGGGTTCCTCACTTTCGGAAAAGAGTTCCCTTGCGCCCAGGCAACAGGTTCGATAAGACACAGTGCCATGTGCTCTTGCAATTGTTGAAAGCCAACCCCGATCGTGCAGAAATTAGTTCCTCATGCGCACAACATGCATGCACAGTTTGCTGAACGTTTACTTGGAGGGGATGGCCATCTTTCAGCCTCAGATGACTTCAACGCCTCAATGCAAGCTTGTGGCAAAATGTTGATGCCTGATTGCTGCAGGAGAACTCTGGCAACCACTGCGACAGCAGTGGTTGCATATCGCTTGTTGGAACTGTTCAATGGGTGCTCTGTGCCTGACGTCTGGGGTGAATGCACCTTTCATCTCTCCCTTTGGATTGACGATCACGCCAGCATTATCTTCAAAATAGATGAACATTCCATCCTTCCGCCTCCAAGGTTTCCTCTGTCGCACGACAACAGCGGGAAGCACTGTGACAGACAATGTTCAATTCAGATCCATCCACCAACACTTCTTGGGTTGCACTACAACAACAGCTGATTCGAGCACATATTCTTGCGTCCCGTATGTAGCCCGACATCGCCAGATGTGCGATGGGGTTTGCTTTCCATGTTTGACAATGCGACAAAGAATTTTTCAATGCACAGCGAAGGGATGAACAACAACAAGGAGCGGTATCTCCATCTCAAACCACGCAGGGTACCGCCATCACAGTGATCTTCTGCCTTCCCATCAATCCTATCTCCACAATTACAGGACAAAGGACAGGGTTGCCGGGACCCAACGGCAAATCGCAAATGGCATGGATGTCCCCAATAGCACGTTGCGACGGCGATGGGAAGTCGCGACAAGACGCATCCTGAGCACCTGTTCATCAGGATGCAGAAGCTTAACGTCGCACATTGCCTTCCACGGGTGCTCCCAACCACAATCGGCGGGCCCCAAGTGAGCGGATCGCAACGTGGTTGAACCTGGACAGGGGTCGGGGAGACAAGATCCTCCCCGCGCAGCGCACCTTTCTTCCTCAGATCTGGCTTTCCCTTCTTCACGGTAGCCATGACCATGTCCCCGCAGGCGGCAGAGGGCAGCCGATTCAGCTTGGCGCCCCAGCCCACGACGGAGATGATGTACAGGTTCTTGGCGCCCGTGTTGTCGGCGCAGTTGAGCACCGCGCCAACGGGCAGCGCCAGCGACATGCGGAACTTGTTCCCCGAAGAGCCTCCCCTACCGCGTTTGGACGCCATGGCAACAGGCGTGCACCTTGGCCGCCGCCAGGCGCCACAGCCTTCAAAGAACGCGCCTGGGATTGCATGTTTTCCCGTTTTTTCTGCTGAATTGGTCAAACTTGCGTTATGTACAGGAGGTAAGGCACTGGTGAGGAAAGCGCTGCTGTGGCCAGCTCTCTTTTGTGCGCTGCGTTCTGCAACCACCCCGCAAGGCGTGAGGATGCACGGCACCATTGGCGGAGCGAGGTCCCCACCTTTTCTTCGTAGCCAGGTGGTTTGCAAAGGATCGATCTGCTGCCAGCCTTCCAGGTGCGGTCTGTCACTGGGGCACGCTCTGAGCGAACAGCAGGTCCGCATCTCATGGAGAGGACAACGATGATGCGCTCAACGTCGCCCACAGCGTCCCTAAACGTGTGAAAGATAGCAGCCTCCGCCTTTGCTGCCGAATTCGTTTGACCTTGATCTGGGAGCCGCGCGTGTAGAATCGACATCACGCTTTGTTGGTCATGCTTGGCGGTCCACTGCTTGGCGTTCGGAGTGAAACGAAATATGGCACGCTTCTGTCCCATCACGCATCGGTATTACCAAACGCGAATAACAACGCATGGCCACTTCCCGTTCTTGAGTTTGTGTCGGTGCGCTTGTTGCATGCCGCCTGGGTGGCGATCAAAGCTGCTGGGATTGTGTAATGGATACCATCCTGGAACATGCGCAGCGAATGAGAACGTCGCAAGATCAGTTTGTGTGTCGCTTGTACAAACCTGGACCCGACATGTGCAAGCTGTGTGCAAGGGTCCCAAACCAAAAGCAACAAAGCTGGCAAAACATGGTGATGGAATTATGCAGACACATCTGCAAACTCTGTAGGTTCCTACCAAGATTCGAATCCTCCCCCAGAATGGACTCCCAGAAATTGCATGCTTGGGAACTTGTGATAGTTGAAGTAGTGAGGGAGTTTCCTGTCGATTCCGATTGGTCAATAGCACATCAACACATCCAACACACAAGGACAAACAGAAAAGGACTGAAACTGGAAACAAGATGGTACCTGCGGTCTATGATGGACCTTGGCATCTTTTTGTGCCCATCGTCATCCATAGCATGGGAAGACGCAACGTTCAGCAGATGGGCCATGCTCTTCTACCAGGGCCAGCATCCAAAAGCAGCCTTGCTCTCTTAACCTGGAAAGATATCCAGCTGCTGTTCTCTCCACAGGACCAAATTTTGGTCAGAATATCACTTTTTGGGTCCCCAGCATTGCTCAAGTCTTTCCTTTGTCAATGCCCTTGACTGTTTTTGCGACAAACTATGAAACACTGCCCTTGCATCGACAAGCGTATGACAGGCAGTTTCCTGTGTGTGTGGCAGTTCAGATGGACACACAAGGCAGTTGATGCAACAAAGTCACATGACTATCACTCAGGGGTGGCCGTAGGAGATTTGAAAACCTTGCAGATAACCTGGACAGCCGTCAGTGCTCAACTTGCCTTAGCTGGTGGGTAAGTTTGTTGCATCTGCAGCAGATGGTGTCCTTGCAATCCCTCACTCCCCCGTCTACAACATCCAAGGGATGGAGGAGAATGCTGCCTGGTTAGCAACATGACTGGTTAGCAATATGACTTGTGAGAAGTTCAGCAGTACATGGAAGAAAATCAGAGGAAGAAGACAAAAGTCAACTTGACATAGAAAATGGTTCGGGCATATCAGCAATTTGTCAATGTAATAACGGCAACGAGTCATTGGACTCAGAGCAATTGTGCACGCCGACCAGCTCAAAAACACATGAACATTGTGGAACAGTATACGGCTGCGTAGAAGTTGCATTTCACCCTTCGCCAGTCGCTGGGCAGCAACTTTTGAATTGAATGTTTGCCTCCCAAGAGAAGTTATGAGGTTGCTATAGCACAACCTTCACACGATGATGTGCTTCCAAAGTCAGGATGCCGAACTGCAGCCATAAACCAGTTCCACCTATCCTGGACAGGTTATATGTATTGTGGCTCCCTCCTGCTCTGAAATTCCCCCCTCACTGCTTGTGCGCTTTGTTATCTTACAGTTGTGATATTTTGTTCTTTTCGATTCGATGCTGTACCACTCTTTGCCAAACCCACAAAAGTCCCAGCCTACATAGTCCAGCAGTCCTTGGAGCAAGACCATGCTTGCGCTGACAGCAAGTCTACTAGAGATCGTTGTGCAGAAGGGACTGCACTGTGTCATGGCAATGTATTCGGGCAGCATGTTGTGCAGTTTTTTTGCTGCCAACTTCAAGGCACAGATTTCAAGCAGGCAGCTTCCTGCACTACCCAGTTTAAGGACGGGTCAAGCTGATAATGACTCCCAGTGACAGTTTGTATTGTATTTCTCGCCTTGCCAGGCAGTAAACTAGGAGTGACTGGGGCAATGTGCTGCTGAATTCCTGACAGTTGCGCCAGGGGCTGACATGTGTATGTGAAACAGTGCCTGTGGTGGCTGCTGAGGCTGGGCCGCAGGCCAATGGTATTGGTTGGCAGCAGTGGGCAGGCGCTGCTTTTCCTGTGTTCGTCTTCTTCATTGGAGCTCTGGAGTTCGGGAAACGAATTGTGAGTGGACGCCCCGTTTCTTGCCACGTTGTGTTGCATTGACAGCGGATTGTGTACACACTGGCAGCCCACATAGAAATATAGGCCAGTAAATGAGTCATTGTGGAAAAATGCAGCTCACCATCCACCACTGCCATGTTTATGGGACCTGCAAGGCAATGAGATGAAGGAATCGCCTTCTTGTGTGAAATGCTGTCGTTTGTACTTCCTCCGTCCGGAATTAATTGTCCTCTATTTGAGAGACAAATTTCATTACAAAGAAGACCTTAAATTTACAAAAGAATATCAGAATTTAAAAAATTGGGTCGCAAAACTTTTAACTACCAATTTTCAAGACAAAAAGCGAGTCCCACCCCCTCTGGAGGGCCCCCAAATCGGCGAAATTCGTCCAAAAGATGTGCATGCTGATTCCACATCCGCTAGAGAGCCGCATGGTTCTAGGTCACTCCCGTCCTAGGTGTGCCAAAGACAAGTCGTTGCTGCCTTCGCGGTGAAGAGCGACATCCTTTACGTGGAATAGCGCTTGCCAAACATGCTCGAGCGTGTTTGGATCCCCATCGTGGAAGGCCATCGTCGTAGTGTTGACGATTTCTAAAATCTCGGCCATCCTCGATTTTTGACGCATGGACGTAAGGCAAGCGAACAAGGCTGGGGCCCAAGGCACTCAAGCTTGGGCTATGTGCGAGCTATCGTTTCAAGGTTATGTAGTGGACTTGCTTGGACAATCTGCCTCGATTGATGCCTAAATCTTTGCTTTTGTGGGCAGCGTGGCCAACACCCCGCAAACTGCCGCGATCCGCTGACTCTTGCTTCCAGCCCACAATCCATCGCAGCCCAGCAAGTGCATTTCCCTTTGAGAGACATGGTTTTATCCATCCAGCTAGTCTTCTCAAGACAAAACGTTCAAGGGCCAAAAAATGGTCGATTCACCTTTCATGTGCAGGAGGGCCACCGCCTAATTGCTCCCTAATTGTTCGCCGCTGAATGCAGTGATGGCCACCACTTTCCTAATGAGACTGCGAAGAACTTGGCAGGCCTCCTGCAATACACCTCGCAGTGGAGTTGGAGGTCCAAAAGTTGTGGTCTAGAAATCTGGGCCCGATGGGCATCTCTGTTTTGGCTAAACAGCTTGAATTGCAGCCGCAAGACACGTTTTTGTTGCCCTTCTTCTTTGCAAGCACCTCCACGATCTTTTGTCCAAACAATGTGGATAGTGCTGCCTGGGCGACTCTATAGCGCTGCCACAAAGGCGTGCTCCTCAAAACAGCGAAAATGGCCATTCTAGTAGGAAGTTGAAAAACTGATGGGTTTCTAGCTGGATGACCCTTGCTACAAAGTGCTGCCAAATCCGCAATACTTAACGAACTGACTTAAAATTTGGATTGCATATTCTTAAAACGTAGGTGCAGCTTTGTAAAAAATTTCACTGAGAAACAAAGTGTTTATGATGGAGAAGTAATGTGTCAAAGTCATAGAGGACAATTAATTCTGGACGGAGGAAGCTTCCAGTTGGACTGAGCTAGGAGACAAAAATGCAATTCCCACCTGTTGTATGTTGTAATGCTGCTGCAAACCATTTTTTGCTGACCAGCAGTCTTCCATAGCATTAAAAACTGACTTCCGCTCGACTGTCGCCATACCGAGCTGGTCGTTCTGGAAATTTGTGTTAAATTACCGCCAAACTGAATCATTTAGCCAACAAGAGACTTTTGTGCCATGTTATTGACACAGAACAGAGCAGCCTATCTGCGTGCCAGCCAGCAATCAATAGCCCACCATTCGAATTTGAGCAAAATGGATGTACGCTTGATGGCCTTGCGACCAGCTTTGCCCTCAGCTGCAGATCGTCAACCGCTTTTTTAATGTTAGAGTCACCATACACATGACCAAAAAGGGTTCGCAAGCGCCTTGCAAGCAAAGAACGTATTGTTATCCACACCAGCGCCCCTATACCAAAAGCTATCTTTTCTGATATGCAGGTCATTCAGCAGAGATGCAAAGCTTGTGGAGGGAGCGGACTAGTTGAGAGAGGAGGCGTTCTTCGAAAATGCTCCCAGTGCGGCGGCTTTCTGCCATGGCAAGGATGGCGCCAGTTCTTTGAGGCTAACCGTACTCCAGGCAGTGGAGGTAAATCTTGGCTCATTTCGTCCAACTGCTGCAGCAATTGGCGGGCGTTGTAAGAGTGCCCTGTCAGCATGACTGCGCCATCGGATGCTGCCGTCCTGGCAGCATTGTAAGAGAGTTGTCACAATACTTCTGCAATGCTGCCGGCGTTTGTGCGACCAGTTATGGAGTGGGGTCGGTTCAGCAACAGTCTGCAGGTTGCGACAATACCAAATTCATCAGGCCGGTGTGCAAAACATGTGTGCCTGTCGTGTGGAAGGGCAAACGTGTGTAGTAGAATCTGACGTGGATATGCCGGAACCTTGCAGACCCCAT